TTTGATTGATATCTGCTCTAACAAAGATTTTCTTTACAACTTCTTCAATTACTTTCAAATTCTCTTTAATAGTTTTTGAGCTGTAGACTAGATCAATATCATTCATATAACTTGAAGATCACACTATTCTCATATTTCTATTTTTATCTCAGTCTTGTCTTATTTCATTTTATTAAAGAAGAGTTGTATACTTCTTTTAGATATAAAACAGTTAACTCATTTTATTAGAGAAAGTGACAGTTTTAATATCTTCAATGTCTGAATTAACTTTGACTTTGAAACATGATCAAATGCTTCTTTTATATCAATAAAAACTGCAGTTGAGACCAGACTCTCATGCTTTGCTATTTGAATATCATGAACAACTGAGAGAACAGTGTTAATTGCAGAACACTGTTTTCTATCTCTCATTTATTCACTGAATAAAAGAGAATCATCTATAGAGCTTATAAAAGATAGTTGAGTAGCTATTATCTTTTCTAAAACCTTTTCTAGGCAGTTCAATAGACATATTACTCTATATGACTTAGAAATTAAAGTTTTTCTATTAGGTTTTGTAAGAATCACTTCAGTGACTTCTCTTCAGCATTCAGAATGATATTCATTTTTCAAGAGATTGAAAAAGAGCTCAAAATATTCATTCTTTAAGTAGAAATATGTATTTTGAATAATTAAGTGATTAATTGAATCAGGATCTACAGCAGTTTTAACAGAACTTGAGAAGATAGCTGACTTTAATTCATCTTGTGTAAGATCAAATCATTCTCAGTTATTTTCATTAATGTAGTTGAGAAGTGATATATTCTCTTCCTCTGAATCTGAATCTGAATCTGATGAGTTCTGAAAGAGAATTCTCATGAAAGCTTGATATTTTTCCTCAAAAGAGTTTGCTGTATATAATTCATTCTGAAACTCATATTCTAAGGCTGGAAGTTTTGCTACACTTCTTGTTTTAGTATAGTTAAAAGCTTTAAAAACTTTCTTCTCTTGTGCTTCTTCAAGGAATTTATTCCAGCAGTCTGTTTTAGCTCTTTTAATATCTGAAAAATATTCATTTCTGACAGCTTTGAACTCTTCATTAGATATTATATCATTCTTTCAATCTCTTCTAGCAGTAGCTAATTCTTTTCTTTTAGATGAGATATTCTCATTTCATCAAGATTTTAAATACTCAGAAGATTTTCTCTTTGAAATATTATCTCTAACACTTGTTAGAATAATAGATGTAATAAGCTTCACTCTATTCTTAAGCATTTCATTTGAGATATCTTGATCAGAATTTTAATATAGCTCATTCTGTCTTTCAGATTTTAACAGTTTTATACTTTCTTCAACTGCTTTTCAATCAGCTTTTTCAAAGTTATACTGATTAGAGAGAAGAGAATTTTCACTCATTTATTTTTCACTCAGTTCAATATTAAATTGAATAATCTCATGATCTAATTCTGATGTCTCATTTAAATCAATAAATCAGTTTACAAGTCTTCTTTTCATTAGATTTTATAATATGAAGATTAGATCTATAATAGACTTCTGTTTCATGCCTTTTCTAAAGAATGTTTATTAATCAGACTTATTAATCAAATCTATTGAATGCTTAAAGATTCATTCAATCAGATTATCAGCTCTTACTGCTCTCTTATATTCTGAATTTTATCAGAGATAATGTGCATTGAAGTCTTCTACAATTATAGAGTTTCTTGATGAAGTTATGTTCAGAAATCCTCTATCAATTATTCAGATATTATTATATTCCTTCAATAACTTTTCATTATAGATATTTATAAGCTGTATAGTATCAAACTCATTTTCTTTATCTATAATATCACTTATCAGAATATCAGAGTCAGACATGATATCAAATTCTAGATTAAATTAATATCTTGATCTCTTTCTTTCATAGATCACTACTCTTGACTTTATCTCAGACTTTTGAGGTAAAAAGCAGTAGTAGCTTGAATGAGAAATGACATATTTTTACTCAGCATTAAAATTCGGCTTCTGAAGCAGTATAAAATCAACTTTTTATTCAAATGCAATTTGAAGACAAGAATAAATACAATTTGAGTTTCTATTCACATTATTTTGAATAAATGTGATTTTTGAAGAGTTTTTAAACTTTTTTTGTTGTTTTTATTGTATATTCATACTAAAAGAGAGTAGAGTAGAATCTAATCACTATTATTAGATAGTAGATTATAACTGTTCTGAAAAGTAGAAATCTCAACTGCTTACATTATATCTAGTTTATTATCAGAGTCATTTCTCAATTCTCTAATCTTAACAGAAGTTTGAGAATTCAAATTCTGTTTACATTTAGCTGAAGAATTGAAGTTTGAAGACTTAGATAGTTAAGAGTTTCTTCTTTTTAAACTTAAAGTTGTGAGTTTACTGACTTGACTATTCTCTTCAGTTCTAGATTTACTCTGAGCTTCATCTTTTCTTCAGTCCTTTTGAGTTCTTGAAGCAAACATACATTCTTTTGAGCTAGATGCATGTTTTTCTTTGCAATTAGAGCATTTAAGCAGAGTATGTTGACATATTTCACCTCTTTTTAAGCATGTTTCACATTTATGCTCACTAGTTTTGTGATCTCTGGCACAGAATGCACATTTTAAGTCTCTGAAACAGAAGATTACAAAGTATTCATATCTTTGACAGTTTGAACACTGTGTTTGAGCTTTGAGATTCATTCTTGAGTCTTTGTATTCATGAACTCTCATTTTTAAACCTGCTACTCTTACTTCAGAGATCTTTGACTGTTCAATTGTTTTTGTATATACTAAAACAGAGACATTTCTTCTGCTTTGTCTGAACTCAATTGAATTTAGTCATACAGACTCTTTTCTCAGTTGAATAGAGTTATATTCTTCTAATTCATTTTTGAGAAGTAGCATTTCTTCTTCACAGTCAAAAATTTCAACTGAAATATTATAAAGAATAAATTTGTCTCACTTTTCATCTCTCTCAGATAGAATTGTTGTGTTTAACAAAGATTCTACTGCTGATTTTCAGAGATTCTCATTCTGAATAAGAAATTCTGCACTGAATTCAGACATTGTGATCAGAATGATGAAGTTTTCAAAGAAGAATAACTCAATTAAAGCTATAACTGATTTTTGAACTTTAATATCAGTCATTAACTGAGAAAAGAACTGCTGATTGATTTCATTTCTAATTCTGAAAATGAGGTTTGAGTTTAGCTTATTTCTCTGCAATATATTCTGATTTGAGACTTTGAGAATAAGTCTTCTATTTCTGAAGATTTAAAGATTTTTCTCTTTTTGCATTTTTTTCTTCACTCTTCTATCACTAGAAGTATGAGCAGTATTCTTCTCAGTTTTCTCAGAATTTTGAGCAGGCTTTGAGATAGCAGATTTAGAGACAGCAGGTTTAGAGGTAATAGATTCAGCTGCTTGAGTATATGTTTTCTTCTGATTTAAAGAAGAAGAAGAAGAAGAAGTAGTAAAGAAAGAAGAGTAAACTGAAGAGTCAGTGATTATATTAGAAATTTTCAAAGTTTTTTGAACTGTGTTTGAAATTCCAAGTTTGAACTTGATCACTTTCTGTAGTTGTCTAGTCTGAGTATGAAGAATTAACAGAACTTCTTCATTCATCTCACTCAGACACTGCTTTTCAAGAATTTTACTTGCTTTTTCAAGTTTCTGTATTTCAAGAACTTGTTATTTCTCTATTTCTTCTTTCTTTCTTCTCTTCAGAATTTCAATCTCAGAAATAGCATTTGAGAAAGCATCTTTTTCCACATCAACTGTGTGTACTTTTGAACTCATTATTCTTACTCAATGAAAAGTTGATCAGACTAATTCAATTGAGATATTTATTAAACTCTTTTGAATTGAAAAGTTGATCAGACTGTTTCAATTAAGAGATTTCTAAGTCTGTTTTCAATTGAAAAGTTGATCAGACTATTTCAAAAGAAGAATAACAGACTTTTGTATATAAAACACCTGATTTTTTTTCACACTAGTTCAGTAACTAGGTTAGATTTTTGAAGAGAATCTAATAAACTAAAATTGATTTTTAAGATAAATCAATAAAATCTTTACAATCTCTTTCTTAGAATACAGTGAGAAGAAGTATGATATCAATTGATAGTAAATCAGATAATATAACAGTTTTTAAGAGAAAAACTGATAAAAAATAAATCAATTTTTTGCAGAGAAATTGATTAAAACTATTCAATTTTATTCTAAATTATTCAATTCTCCTCACATAACAAGTGTGCAACTCAAATCAGTTAATAAAGAGTGTAAAAAAGAATTAAATATTAATAAAAGCTCTTCAGTCACTGAAAAAGTAATTCTTACTTAAAAGAATATGAAATTATGATAGAAAATAACTCTGTTTTTAATTCTTTATAACAATATTGTGTAAAACTCAGAGAAAAACACCTTACTTTTTCAAGAGAAGTCAAAAACTATTTCTAAAATCTTTTTTTTTTTGCATTAACTGCTGTAGAAGAATGAGATAGAAACTGCTAAGATATACACTACTGTATACTCTCTATCAAGACTTTCTCTCTTCAGAGTCTTGATATTATAGAGAATATAAGTGTATTTCTATATAATAATATAAATATTGTCAGTGAGATGTAGAGGAACTGGTTATTTATATCTCAAAATAGAAGACTTTATCAATGATTATATCAATATAGAGTTAATTCTCAAATTCAATAGAAATCTAGTGTTACTGTTCTCAATTCCTTGCAGAATCTATTGAATATTGAGATATTAAAACTAGATTTAATATATCTCACTGTGCAGGGATCAAAGGCTCAGTCAGATCTTGAGATATACTGATTTTATAGTTGTCATGTCTGCCGATTATGTATTGAGTACAGTTGCTGAGGTATCTTTTTGTACTTTTCTGTTGAGGATGGGCCAGATTGAGAGGGGTGGTACGAGGGCGAGACTTGGTGTTGATGTCTAGATACACTGAAGACAGACCGCGGAGGTTGCACTTCAGAAGTGGCTGTTAGCTATGTGCTTGATATTATCGCCGAGGTATCTTTTTGTATTTTTCTGCCGGGGATGGGCCAGATTAGGAAGGGCGGTACGAGGGTGGGACTTGGCGTTGGTGTTTTGGAACATCAAAGATGGACAGGGTTTTCGCGGAGGTCGCTCCTCAGATATCTCCACAACTACAGATCGGGGATCTTCCAAAATCGAGAAGATTGGTGCATATGGCTAGGTCTCTTCACCTTACAATTTGTATGGCACTTTGGCCCGGGGTTGTGGTGTGGTAGGGGAGAACGGGGGATACTCCCACACAGGAGTTTCGAACAACGTCCGGTTCACGTTTGGCTGGATAACTCCACCACCACACAGGGTATGCGGTCGGCGATGGGGTCAGAATGCTCGTATGATCGAGGGCTTTTCGATGGATCTATCGGCGGGTTCTTATTCGAAAAATCGAGCGAGTTCGTGGTGGAGCGGTTGAAGCTGTCAAGTAGATCGATAAATGACAGTGTTAATGTCTTTATTATAATCAGATTCTTAGTGAAGACTGCATTATTCTAACTTATTAGAATTCACAGTATAAAAGTCATGTCTTAGCTTCTGCAGATGTCTTATCTGCTCAGATGATTCTTAAGTGAACTTATTCATCTTACTAGAATACTCTTATCACTGAATCTTGAATCAGAGCTTGTAATCTCACTTCTCTAAGTTAATAATTTTTTTGATCTGATATTCTCTTTCACTCTCTAATACTTTATAAACAGAGTGATGAGTCACAGAATTCTCTTCTAAAAATTTCTTATATTTACAGAGTAAAAAGACATGAAAAATATTGTATATCTATAACTTAGATAATAGTTTCAATCTGTAGAACTATAAGCTAACTTTCTTCATAATCTTATAAGACTCTGTCTATAAGAGATTCAGCTTCTTACTAGATCTCTATATAATAATATTTTCTAGACTTAGTCAGACTCTATCATCTTTCTTAAAACTCTTTATAATATACTTAAAGTTATAGTATCTCTTCTGATACTCTTGAGTCTTTCTTAAGAATTCACAGACTTTCTTCTGAATATTCTGAATTCTCTCAGCCTGTTCACAGACATTATCACACTCTATAATATACTCTCACAGATTTATCAAGATTATTCACAGATAAGTCTCAGTGAGTATCTCAAAGAGAGTTTTATCTATACTGACATACTTTGAGATATTGTATATAAACTCTGTAAGTAATAACTAATACACTCAGTCATTCTGATTATAATTGACAAAGTATCACAGATACTGTTTTAATATACTTATCAGATATTCTGTCTGATTATCTGTCTATTGATGAAAAGTCATACTTAGATCTCATAAGATCTTCAGTATAGTTATTAGATTAAATCAGAACTTCTCTGTGATGATTAATTTTCTATCTAAAACAATATTTACAGATAATTCATATAAGTAAATCATATTACAGACAAAGATATAAGTCAAATTCTTTGACTTTAAGTTCTTATAAGTGAGTATAAAGTGTGTTATCTTGATGAAGTAATCTACTATCATCAGCACACTGTTAAAACAGATATTATATATATTCTTACTTTCAGAGAGACTTATGAGAATATTCATTTCTAGCTATTCTTAAGGTTTCTGTGAGATGAGTAGAGAAGTAAGTTCTTTATATAATCTGAATCACACTATCTATGAACTCTGATAAATAGTATAAGAATTCACTATCTTCTTCACAAGTTCTTACATCTTCAGTCAGAAGTATTTTCTTATAAGTAACTCATAAGTTCTAGTATCTGTAAAATAACCTGCTAGAGAAGAGTCATGATATCTTTTAATAAGTTCTATACATAGAAACTTATTCATAGATATATAAATTCAGCTCTCTCTTTATAAGAGATTATTTAAGTCTCTTTAACTCTTTATTTCTTGTAAGAATAAGTGCTCGCAGGCGATTATTCGGGTGTTTGCAGCTTGGCGTGATATGTACTGTTAACTACTAGAAGTGTTCACAGTAGAAAGATAAAATGTAGAGATCAAATGTATAATAGCATTCAAGCTGAGTTATGAATAGTATTCATGAACTCCAGTCTATATAGTTGTGTGTAGCTAAGGGCCACTAGCTCTATTGATTATGTGAGAGATAGAAATAGAGATAAAGAATCTGTGAGAAGCAGGATTTCTTACATACTTTCTCCTCTCTAAGACTTTGTCTGTGAAGTCTTTCACTGAGTGACTTCATAGTCAGCTCAGTACTGCAGTGATACTCACTAAAAATCCTTCACATCTATAAAAAATCTCAGTGAGGAAAAATCCCTTGTTACTGTGAAGAGAAAAGAGTCTATCACTCAGTTTCTTATTTCATAAGATTCTTTATAATCTACAGATTCTTCTCTGACTATCACACAGATTCATCTCACATCTTTCATACAGAAGAATTTCAGTTAACTCTCAATTATTTTCATAAGATTCTTATATGATCATCACACAGATTCATCTTACAGATGAATCACTCTTTATGAGATTATTCTTATCAAAGAGAAACATTTATAAGTTGATCTTTCACTCATTCTCATGAATCATTGTTCTTTGATACTGTAGAATTGTGAGAAATTTTTCATTCTTTTATCAACTCTGTAGAATTATAGAATCAAGATGTCTGCAGTCTGCAATTACTCTTTGTAGTCACATAGAAAGATTCAGATCTGTAATTCATAATCACTCTTATTTACTAGAGTAATCTGACTATTTCATAGAATCACTCACAGTGTAAGCAAATCTCTCTAGAGTAGTATAAATATCTCAGATCTATCTGTGAAATCTCATCTTCTTTTCTCTTTTTCTGTAACAGCTTTCATTCTTATAAACTGTGAGTATTCTTATTCATCTGTGAAGTGTTTTCACTCAGATGATAGAGAGAGAGTGTTTCTGACAATATCTGTATATTGATTCAAGAATTTCTCAAGAATAAAAATTTTTTAATTTTAATATCTTTACAACAATGTCTGATCACTGCTGAGCTTCTTATGAGTGTCTCTGCAACTTCTCTGATCACTTTTTATCAGCTGATAAAGTAGGAACACTACTGCTCATGACTGCATCTTCATCTTTCTCAGCTCTGTCACTGCATCTAATCTTCAGATCAGCAGTCAATCTCCTGTCTTTCTCAGACTAGTCTCTGACTTCAAGTAGTGCAGTTTCTCTCTTTACTGTAAGTCTTCTTATAAGTAATTTCTTACAGACTGTAGCTGACAGTTCTTATAAAGCTCTCAGTGTTGTCAGTGTCTTCTGCAGTCTCACAGGTCTACAATCACTCTCTCTCTGCTTACACAATCTCTGATCAGATATATGCAAATATGTCTAGATTCTCTATCAATGATTCTCACACTGCAGTGCATTTCTGCAATCTTATTATCAATGAGAGATGAGTTCTTAGATACTCATAAAATTCAGATAATCAAGACAATGTGAATACAGATTCTTAGTTTTCATTATTCAGTTTATTCACTCTGTGAGCTTTAGAGACACTACAGTAATCTGAGATTCTAAGTTTATTAATACTTATTATACTTGTAGAGTAGTAGTAGCATAGTATAATCTCTTCTTATAAGTAAGTAGTTTCATTGAGAGAGTAACAGATTCAGATGTCAGCTTTAAAACTCTTAAGAAAACTGTTACTGACTCTGTCTATAACTTTTTAAATTTCTATTTTAATTTATCTGAACAGTTTGCACAGAGATATTCTAATTTAAAATAGATAAAGTAAAGATTCTTTTTCTTAATCTCTCTATTATACACTTTATTTATAAAAGCTTGTGAAGCTCTCTCTTTCTACTTAATAGTCAGATATAAATCTCTCTATATTTTATTATCTTTCTCTGATAAATCTGTTCTCTGTTATTCTGATTCTTACAGAATCAGTTAATAATTCACTCTTTATAAGTCTGTGACTCTCACAGTGATCTGTAAGCAGTGAATGAGAGTTATCAGTTTCTTCAGAGTTAAGAGCTTAGAGTCTTACTTAATGAGTTTATTCTATATATCTTTATTCAGTCTTTTTATAAATATTATAATTCAGGTCTTGTTTCAGAGCTCTGTTTTCACAGATCTTAATTCATATCATAATTTTATAAAACACTGTGAGTAGTCTTTATCAGATTTCTCATCTCTTTTTCTAATATTAATAATCACAGCTCAGATATTCTCTGTCTGACTTATAAAGACTCTTAACTTATTCTTTAAATAGATCTTAAGAACAGATTAGCAGAATCTCTTATAATAATTCTCTAAATAATTCAGCTAGTTCTTGACTTCAGTATAGTAGAGATCTGTTATTATATAGATAATAATTTCTTCATCTTCTATATCACACAGTCAGACTTGTAAGTTAATTTTAAATACAAACTTATAAAAGCTTTTATAAATTGTAATTCAGTAAATAATCTTAAATAGTTATAGTTTAAGAAAGTTTCTTTTCAGTTTATAAGTATTTCTGAAAATTATATCTAAAGACTCAGTTTAAGAGTGTTTACAGACAGTAAGTATTTCTTATAGAAAAATAGCTTAATTTTATAAAAGATACTTAAGAATATTCTTTACTAAAATTGATTTATTTATAAGTTCAGATAGTTTCTCTGTTATAGATATAGAGAATAATATTCTATAAATAATTAATAAGTTCTCTGAGACTTCTTTTATAAAGATTATTTATAGTTCAGATAACTGCTTCTGAGTATCTATAGTAGAGTTTACAGAGATTAAAGTATATAAGTTTCTAATTCTTTCAGTTATAACAGATGATTGCTGACTGACTGAGCTTGAAATGTAAGAATAAGTATTTATAGATAATTATTCAGATATTTGCAGCTTGACATAATATATACTATTAACTACTAGAAGTATTCACAGTAAAAAGATAAATATAGAAATTAAATATATAATAGTATTTAAGCTGAGTTATAAATAGTATTTACAAACTTCAGTCTATATAGTTGTATATAGTCAAGAGTCACTAACTCTATTAATTATATAAGAGATAGAAATAGAGGTAAAGAATTTACAAGAAGCAGAATTTCTTACACTTATTTATAAGTCTATAAGAGATTTCAGCTTTTCTCTTCAGAAAGATATCTTCTTATAATTAATTTTCTCAATATTTAATAAAGAAAATTAATTTTTAATCAGTGAAAATAATCTGTATAGTTAAGAGAGTATTTTCTTTAAAGAATTATTCTCATTTTAATTAAGAAATTTATTTCAATTCAGTTTATTTTCTGAGTTAATTAATAAAAATAAAGAAGAGATTCTTTTATTATACTTATATACAAGCGGAGCTTATAATGAGTTCTTGCATGATGTTAAATACAGGTCAAGTGTTGATTATACAGGAGGAAATACAGGTGTTGAGATTATATCAAGATAAGAGAAACATAGAAAATACAAAGAAGTGATAATTAGATACATATAATAATAACTTCTCAGCTCAGAAACATAGAGTGATTTATTAAAGTAATTTATACATCTCTGTATTTATTAGAAACCTGAGATGCTTGAGTTCT